GTTTAAACAAAATAGTTTAAACAAAACAGTTTAATGCCAATAACAAAGAACACACAAATTACCAAAGTATCAAATTCACAAAAAACGTAAAATCAACTATTCAAATCAGGACTAAGTTCTGAAATGTCTAAGATATGAAAGGATTTACCTGTTTTCACTTGTCTAAGATCTGAAATGTCTTAGCTCGAAGATTCTGTGGTCAGCAATTGCTTGAAGATTTACCTGCTCGCAACTCGCTGAGTTGCTGTCGACCAAGAAAGAGAGAGAGAGAGAGAGAGAGAGTGGAGGGCCTGAAGGCGCACCGTTAGAGGAACATAAGAGTGTAGGGCCTAGAGCCGCAACGTTCAGTCGTCCAGCGTAGAAAGAGTTAGATTAGGGTTAGGGAAAAATACCTTTATATATTTTTTGTGGGGCTGTCATTAAAAAAAAAATTATGGTTAATTTTTTAAAATAATTATTAATTTATTATTATATTAATTTTATTTAAACAGGTAAACGGGTTGACATGTATCACCTGAATACGACCCGTTTATTAAACGTGTTAAAAGGGTCAACCTGTTTATCACCCGAACTTGTTAAGGCCTCACCAAAACCTGCTTAATTCGTGTCAATTCATGTCGGTTAATCTTGTCGTGTGGGATTTTGACAGGCCTAGGTGGCATATGAAAGAAGTACTCTGACCCGCCTAGTAGGTGGCCCTAAAATTTTTCCCGTCTTGGGAGGATTGACCTTGGCCTTGATAGCCACGACTTTGTCCTTGATACCCTTGAGGGGTAGAAGTCTTTTGCTTTTTACCCGAACTAGAAAGAAGAGGATTGACACTATTTCTTCTTGTCCTTAGCACCCGTCTCCTAGATGCCCATAGCGTCATCCACTTCCCTCTTAATGGCCATGGCTGTCTCGACCATTGAGTCCAAGTCTTGTAGGCGGTGGCCCACAATCTTTCTCCAAATGGATAACTTCAAGCCATCCTTAAACCTCCTCATGTTGGTCAAGTTTGTGGCCAAATAATCATCTACAAAATGGGCTAACTCGGTGAACTTAGCCACGTATTTCGTCACCATCATATTTCCTTGCTTCAAATCCAAGAATTCCTAGGCTTTCGCATGTCAAACAGCCGATGGGAAATAATTTCCCATGAAGAAATCATGGAACTCCTCCCATGTTATTGCCTCAGCATTCTTCAAGGCCTTGGCTCAATTCCACCATAGGTGGGCCTCTCCCTCAAGCTAGAAGGCCACTAATCTTATCTTAGTGGTGTCGGTTGTGATCTCCATAGCCTCCAAGATCTTTTTTCTCTATTGGAACCAATGGTCGGCAGTCATCGGATCTGCCCCTCCCATGAAAGTTGGTGGCTTGTGTCCCTTGAGTTGCTGGAGGTTGTTCAAGTCTCCTTGGCCCACATTGGTGCTAACTTGTGCAAAGGTAGTTGCCATTATGCTTCTAGCCTCTATGAAGGGTTGTTGATCAAAGGCCGGTGGTGATTAGTTGTTATTCCATCCACCCCCTCAACCATTCTAGTGTTCTCTTCCTCTACTTGTCATCTACACACATTTAAGATAGCAATAGAGCACTAACATAGCATCCCAAAGTTAGGGATCATAGTCAAAACATTGAGATTTCTCTCCTTCTATTAGTAGTAGGAGGTGTGCCACCCATTAATAGGCACCTTAACCATAAACCTTCACGTTCCTTCTTTTCTAACCCCTAAGGTTTCATTTTCTAACCCTAGTGTCTCATGTCTATACATAGTCAATCATGCACACAATTAACTTAGCACATAACATGTAGCATTTAAAGCACACAACATGTAATGCATAATAGATGCAATGGCCTAGACCCATGTCCCGCAAGCCCTAGGTAAATCAAGAACCTAGGCTCTGATACCAAGTTGTGACGCTCCAAAATCCAAAGGTCCTTTCTCACCTGTTGATCACCCATCAACTCACGGAAGTACATGTATATGCTGTATAAGTTGACACCACATCATCACATCCCTTTCACCGGAGTCGTTGCCAACATAGAGTTTGGGCTGGGTCTCCCTTATACCAAAACACTCCTAAACGCATAACTTGTATGCATGTCAATCACTTGACCATTCCAAGGTCTAATCCTCATCAATTTACACTTAATATTGAACCAATTACATCCTTTAAGTAAAAAGGCTTAAGGCTCGAAGGCTTGACAAGTTATGTTTAAATTTTTGAAAAGTTTGAAAGAGGTACTGGTACATCTTACACGTGGTACAAGTATCAGAGCCTTCTATCTGCTAGGTACCGGTACCTAAGTAACGAGGTACCAGTACCTGAACCCTTATTTTCCAACATCCTTCTAATTGCCAGGTATAGGTAACTGAGCCCATTGTTTGGTAGGTACCAACCTAAGCCCAGTGTTATAGATGTACCGGTACCTGAAGCCATGGTACTGGTACCTGAGCCCATTCGAATCTAGGCATTGGTTCCCATATGTCGAGGTACCAGTACCTGGGCCATCAAACAGAATGGTATCGGTACTTAATCACTTAGGTACCGGTACCAATCTCCTTCCAAACACACCCATACATTCATTAACACAATTTATAGTCCATAAGGGTCCAATTCGAAACTCGTTATACAAATTTACAAGTTCAAAATGAACTACACAATTTGTTTACAAAATGTAATTCAAAGCAACATCTCGGCTTCTTCGTCAACAAGAGCCCAAGTGAGGGCCGTCCACCGGCCCTTGTCCTGCACTTGAAATGTTGTTCCCATAAAAGATGAGTCACGCTCATTAGGATTTCTCCTAAAGGGGTAACTGCCCAACCCAGATGCATATAAAATGTTCACATGCAATACAACAATTAACATTTATTCAAGAATATATAATTCAATAATGAATGCCACAATGTCATGCCATGTTATGAGGAAAGACTAACACATGCAATGCAACCCAAGCCCTCCACGGGCTCCCATAACACATTCAATGTCATGCGTATGCATCAGGGCATTCCAAGGTCCTGCCATTGATGTTGATCATCCAATGACCAATTTACAAAAATCTGGGGTCTTTGTTGGGGTGGGTATTTATGGACTTCCACCAACGGGTACCCAACCAACACGACATTTATGGACTTCCATCAATGGCTCTACGTACACCGACACATTTTATGGACTCAAAACTAATGGAGTGTGTATCCAAAATTACTAGGTCTTGCACCCGAGGGAGAATCTAGCCCTTTTGGCTAACTCCAACCCTTGCTTTCAATTCAACCCGAGTGACTTAGTCAAAACTAGGTCTTCAGTGCAACCTATACGACTTAGTCAAACCTAGGTCCAAATTTCCCTAGCCCACGTATCAACCCACCAAGGATGGTGTTTGATCAAATCATGCACACACGACCACACTTATGTCACACGCCCACGAATGTGATACTTTCCGTACATATGCAAATGTAAAGTATAATTGTAATTTCCATATCATGTTCAATAAGTCATGAGCACATTATGAACAATTTCAATGTCTAACAACATTTCTCAATTGTCAATTATATCATAAACATATAATCACAATTCATAATATCACCAAGCGCGTTATCACATTCTCATTCAAGTGATATACTTAAATCATTCCTAGGCATTTTCTCAAACACCCAAAAGGCACATAATTATGTAAACACATAGCATGCCCGATTTAACACATTCCTTCATGAAATTACAAACATGCAATTTCAACAAACCCAATTCATACTAGAATTAATTTTATCCATTCTTACACCATTTACTATACTCAGTTACACTAGGAGTATATTTAGACAAGAGATTTCATCTCGAATCATGCAACCCATTTCATATACAACCCTAGGTTGAAAAAAAACCTAGTTAGGAAAGGAACCCTACATCTTGAAGCGTAGTATACATAGTAGAAACTCCAAGAAAATCCAGCTCAAGCTTCAAACACTTGATCCCAAAAATATCAATCTTGAGTCTTCGGTGAAACTCGCGATCTTTGGTACGTACTTGTAGTTATCATCGCGTAGAATACTTTTTGACCTTGGCCCGAAGCAATCCTAGGAATGGATGGTCCTAGATCGCAAGGAGAAGTGAAGGAGAACTTGATTTTCTATCTCCTCTCTCTCTCTAAAAAAATCTGGTCTAAAATGGGGAGACAATTTGATTTTTATCCCCTATTTATACCCCCTAATACTTGGTCCACATTAAGCCACACGTCCCGTCTTTTCCTGATCTCATTTTATCCCTAATCAATTAAATCTCGTTTTGTGTCATGTTCAATATATTTTATTTGAACTAACTATTATTTATTTTTCTTATTTCACAATTAAATCTCGATCGCGTTTATTTTTTGTCATGCAAATCTCGATCACATCGTAAAACTTAAAAAAATCAGTTGTCTTAGAATTCAACAAAAATTGACTACTAAACTAGATTTCGTGAGATGAATCCAACGTTGAGGTCCATTTCTTCATCCGAGTTCTAGAAAAATTTAGGTTTTCGACCCTTATCGTAACGGCTAGTTACTATTTTTCCCCTCACAATAAAATTTTAAATTTTCTCGAATTTTACAATGTAAGCTTTCCAAAGAACTCATGTTATTAAAAAATATTTTCAAAAATAGTAAACCATGATGTGCCCAAAATAGCAAATTTTAAATGAAAATGCAGGGAAAAAACATGTAAAGTATGAAATTCCCTCATGAAATGTGTAGGGCTTTACCTGAAAGTAAACAAAATGCTGAAATAATTTTCAAAGTGATCTATGTATAATACTTTATTACAACACCAAAAAATTGTCGTTAAATAATATAAAATCCAAAATGATTAACTACATGCCTAAAAGCATTACTAGTTCGAATCGAAAACCTTAACCTAACTAACAGAAATTACAATTAATAGAAATTCAGAAACAAACCAAATAACTAACAAACCAAAATACCAAAGTACTGAAATGGAAAATTTTCAAAAACGAGATAGATAGATGAAGGACAAAAGACATAGGCAAGGCCTATGCTGATGACAATGGTCCGTTGCCATATCCTTTCCTAAATCTTCTCAAAATCTCATACTGAGTTGCCTGCATCTCCCTCTGGATCATCTCAAATGTCATCATCCTTGTTTCCAATCCCATAAATATTTGGCGATCAGTCCTAAAATCTTTTGGTGGTGGTGGTGGGATGTGCTGAGCTTGTTGTTTGGCATCTTCTTCCTCATCGTCACCCAGTGAAGCTGGTGGTGCATCCGGTTCACCTCCATGGCTCTTTTTCAATGAGGTCTAGTCTAGGACTCCCAATCCTTCAACAGCACTCCATGTAGGATCTACAATCACACCCTTGCTCTAACATAGATTAGTAATCAAAATCCCAAAGGATAGTGAGGGTTTCTTACCATCTATTGCCAATACCATATGCTAAGAATTTAATGTAGTTAGATCCATGGTATGGCCCATAACAAAAGAATATAAGAACCATGCTTTCTTAGTAAACACTTGGTTCTTTTGGGATTGAGGCATCAAATTATTCACCACAATCAAATTCAGAATTCGGTATTTTTCACTCAAATCACCCTGCTTAATGAACTTGTTTGGCCTTCCCCAAATATAATCAGGATTACTAGTTAATTCTATAGCAAACCATAAATATTAACAATAGTTCTAAAGGGAAATTGGGGATTAGAAAATCTCCTCATGGGTTTAATCATGTCAAAAATCGTAGCAGTAACTTGAAATATGTCCCCTAACATAAGTTTCAAATTTCTCCAATTCCATTATAGTTGTATTGCTATAAAATTCCCTAACCAAGCATTCATAAACAACCCCCACTATTTTCATTAAGTCCACCCATCCCCTTGTCTCTATATTTTCTCTCACTCCAATATGCCTAAAATCTTCATAAATACCACTTCTTTCAACAATTATAGTCTTGGGGAGAAGTAGTGCTCATACCGTAGTCCTTGTTCAATGGTTTCAAAAGCAATGTCATGCTCATTCTGACCTTGATCTTGTGGACTTTTCTATGGAATCTCCAACTCTGGACTGCTCGGGGGTTATGGAGACTGAGCTCTTTGCCCTGATTGCCTCAATGTACTTGCTTCTTTGTCTACAATTGATTTCTTCCTTGGATCTATGATTTTCCTTGAAATTCTTGAGAAAAAGAGGGATTGAGATGATTTCAATTAGTGGATGTGTTCAAGAGTGGATGGGAAAGTGTTTAATTGGTTTTAAATCAAGAAAAAGTGGGTAAGAGATGAAGATCTGAGGTTCTTGTGCGAAATTGGCACTGCTCTGCGCTGAAGGCTGTTGTGAGGGAAAACATTGATCTAAAATTTGTGAACTAGCCTTTATAAAGGTAACTGTTTGGATGTAATGAGTGCATAGTATTGCATATTTAATGGCATCATTACATGCATTTTAACTCAACTTTGCATTTAAGTATTTAGAGTTAGCCAAATTTATGAATAATGTGAAAATTTTTATGTTGCAGGTAATTATAGTGTAAATGATGGATTTTGGAACCCTGTAACTAAGTGTGAATGAGTGGTGAAAATATGAACACATTACATAAGGATTTAGAGGCTTAAAAGTAAAAGAAATCAAGGAGGAATTGGTGGTTGGTAACATAGGCACCGGCACTGGCACCATCTAGTAGTAGTACCTAGGTTTTCCTCCTTTTTGACCATGATCCACTTAGAATATGAAAAATTTCAAAACATGAAAGTTGTAGATCTGGATGTCCTCTATATTGTGTAAACATTTCAGCTCAATTGTATGGTTGGGTCAAAATTTATGACAATTCTATGAAAACTGGTCTTGAGCTAGCAGCTCACTCATGACCTACTGGTGGAAGACAACAAAACCTACTGGTAGGTTTTGCTTGCTGGACAAAACAACCTACTGGAAACCTACCGATAGGTTTTGGCTACTGGAGTAAAACCTACCGGTAGGTTTCATTGTTCTATCAGTAGGTTTTGCCCATAAGTGTCAGAACGTCTGTAACTCATGCTCCACTTGCTTAGGGGTCCCACCATTGATTCTTCCACTTGTCCCCTGACATCCCTTATACACATACATGCCTCCTTACACCTATGGGTGGACATTGGAGGCCATTGTATTTATGAGGATGGGAGAGAAGGGGGGAGTCAGGGGGTTGCTGGGCAGGCTTATCCTAGCTTGCAAAGCCAATCAACTCACCTCCCACTGATGGGAGGCCTGCACACAGGCTATGGGGAGCCTCATGGATGAAATTTTAAGTCTCTCACACACCATATATTCAGCATTCCACAAGATTTTTGAGGGGGGAGAGGCTACCTAAGCTTCGGAGTAGTTTTAGTGAGAGAAGCTGCCAAGGAAGAAGATGAAGTTTTTCCTTGGGAGCTTCTCTCTCTACACTACTCCTAAGCTTAGGTAGCCTCCCCCTTTGAAAAGCTTGTGTGAAGCCAAAAAAATGGTGTAGAGACCTCTGCATTTTCATCAATAGGGATCCTCTAGCCTATGTGTGTAGGCCTCCCATCAATGGGAGGTGAGATGATGCATTGGACAAGCTAGGCAAGCATAGCCTGCACCCACCATGCCTCCTTCATTCTCTCTCCTCCTTTCCCTTTCCCATCCTCCATCTTCCAAAGTTGACTTTAGGGTGTAGGTAGTTATGTATATATGTAGAATATGTTAGGGGATGTACGGGAGAATCATAGGTGGAACCCCTAAGAAAGTGGAGTTTGAGTTACAAAATTTGGCGTTTCTGGGCCAAACCTTCCAAAAGGTTGAAGCAAAACCTTTTGGAAGGTTTTCTTCAGTGTGCAAAACCTTCTGGAAGTTTTGCGGTAGGTCTAACTCTAGTGTGCAAAACCTTTCGGAAGGTTTGCATTAGGTCCAATTCTAGTATACAAAACCTTCCGGAAGGTCAAAGCAAAACCTTCTAGAAGGTATTAAGGGGGATGCAAGCTTAGGACCATTTTTTGTACACTTGCCATAAAATTTTGATCTAACCGTCTGATTGAGTAGAAATTTTGAAACAATACAGAGGACATCTAGATCTATAATTTTCATGTTTTGCACTTTTTCATAATTGAAGTAGATCATGGTAAAAAATGGGGAATACAGAGGTACTGCTACCAAATGGTGTGGGTACCGGTACCTATGTTACCAAGCACTGATACTTCCTTGATTTCTCTCACTTTTCAGCCTTCAAATTCTCATGTAATGTGTCCGTTTGTTCACCATATATCCACACATAGTTGCAGGGTTCCAAAAGCCATCAATTACACTATTATTACCTACAACATCCAAATTTTCACATTATTTGCAAATTCAATGAACTTTAACAAATTAAATGCAAAGTTGAGTTAAAATGCATGTAATGAGGCCATTAAATATGCAATATTATGCGCTCATCAATCGTTGACCAAAAATAACAGGAATTTAGGTAGTGACCTAGAAAACTAACTGTGTATCTAAAACAATAAAATCCACATGAAAAGAGAATTTATCAACTTGAACAAGAACATCCTCAACAACTCCATGTGGAATTTTCATAGAACAGTTAGCCAATTGCAATGTGACATTTATGGGTTTTAACTCACCTAACACTAAGTGCTCATAGACTGTATATGGGAATAAATTGACACTCGCTCCAAGATCAAGCAAAGCTTGCTAAATTCTAAAGTTTCCAATCATGCATGAGACTGTGGGACTTTCAAGATCTTTGTACTTCAGAGGGGCATTGTGCTAAATGATAACACTAGTCTGTTTAGTAAAAAATGCTCTTTTCTGTATGTTGATCCTTCTTTTGACTGTGCAAAGGTCTTTCAAAAACTTAGCCTATGATGGGACTTGCTTGATTGCACCCAACAGGGGAATGTTAATCTTCACTTACAATTTAAATATTTTAGTATGATTATTCAATGGTTGAGGTTTCTTGAATCATTGAGGAAAAGGTAAATGAATGTAATTTTATTTGTCTTTTTCATTAGGCAACCCTATTTCCCTTTGAACAGTAGGTTTAGACTCAACTAGTTCACTTACAGGGATTGCCTTAGCCACTGGTTCAAGGATTTTTTCTTTGATGGTGTTGTCAATCACTTTACCACTCCTTAATATAGTAACTTCTTGGAGTTGGCCAGAGAGGATTTAGGTGATGAAACAGTAACATAAGTTTGACCATGTGGTGGTTGAAGTTAGATGGGAATTTTTCTTTCTCTGTTGTGCTCAAAGACTAGGTCAACTTAGCTATGTAACTTTTGATGTCATCAATGGTTTATGATGTTTGGGCCTTAAAGTCATTGAATACATGAGTAGACTGAGTATTGAAACCCATTCGACTTTGAATGAACTAATTCATGGTACCTTCCAAACTTATTTTGCATAGGGGTTGGTAAGGAGGATATGGTTGCTGGGCCTGAGGTTGTGGTGGAGGTGGACATTGTTGATGACTCATGACTTGATCCAAAATGTGTACACCCAAGTGCAAGTGGTCAAGTTATAGTAATAATCCGATTTATTATACTTGTGTTTTATAACTCAGTTAACTCTCATGTTAACAGCAAGTTAATTGGAAGATAAAGAAAGACTATGAGAATTAAGCACATAATTCTGATGTCTTTCTAGAAGTGGACAAGAATTGTCTGTGCCAAGATTTAACCTATCTACAAACGAGCAAGTGTTTCTACAAGGCATCCAACCATGACATTAATGTTTCATTCTTTAGATAAAGCACGATAATAGTGAAGATTGAAATGTATCATGCAGATATCGCCTAGGTACTTGCCTTAAACCAACAGGTTTTTCCATGCAAGAGTCATCCGTGACATAGAAAGAACCCATGGTTAGACAAGGCACCTTAGCTTTGTTAGATACATTCAACCATTCAATGAACAAGTGAAATATAAAGTATTAAAGCATAAATGGATTACACAAATATAACTCCCGGATAATTTCTACATATTCATCTCCTCTTACTAAAGAGTGAATGAGGAACTACTCACTCTTCATGGCTTCGATAAAGCTAGAAAAGTGAGTGATGCTCATCCCTTCAAGTAGAGAACTTACAAAGTAAAGTACAATAAACGAGGAGCCGATCTTCACCAAAGAATAAGTAAATCACGTTCCATCCTTCACAGCTTTGGTAAAGCTCTAGAAAAGTGTAAGAGTTTCACTCCTCCAAGGAAGAAGGAAGCTCAAGCAATGGAAGTGAAATGAAAGAACATTGAAAGTAAAAGAAAGCTAGTTACTCTTGGAGGGTGACTTCCTCACCCAAAAGATGGAGGGTTGCTTCCTTAACC